CCGGTAGTGTGAATTGTTTGATTTTTACTGCTTGAAATATTTGCAATGTCATTAGTAAAAATAAAATTTTACAATATAGGACCCCAAAATCACTGCTACAAAATTGACTAGCGAAATTCATGAAAATTTGATTCTCAAGAAATTAACATGGTTTACAGTAACTTAGTGAACTAGCTAACTCAGTGATTATTTTCAACATTTCTGATTTTGAACTACATGTACCTAACTTGGTGTTTCTATACTGTGCAATACTTTATTTTCGCTTGGAATTAATTTTCGCTATTTTCTCTGAACGAATGTTTCAGTGAAAATAAAATCCAGCGAATATACTTTTTTTCCTATATTTTACATCAAACTTGTCCAAAAATCAGTGAAAATAAATTACATACAAAACACCAAAAAAAGTCTATTTTAGGTTGTGGACTATGTAATTCAATGTTCATTTTCATTATTTCAGGTTGTGGACTACCTAACTCATTGTTCATTTTTTATATTTCAGGTTGTGGACTACCTAACTCAGTTCTCTGGTATCAAACCAGGTGACTTAGATGCTACCATGTCATCAAAGCATTTGACTACCTTGAAGTCCACATACTTGAAACTAAGATATCTGATAGATCAGGGTGTAACCTTTGTGGGACATGGACTCAAAAAAGATTTCAGAGTCATCAATCTGCTGGTAAGAACGAAATCTAAATGAGGGATGGCCATTCTTGCTGCCGAGGTGGCATGGCTAGGATACAGCCACCCATATAATCTTTTTATTGCCACCCCCAGCATATACAATGAATCATCCCTAAACTGTTTTGCATATTTCATCTTTTTTTCATTGACGGAATGATTCAGTGAAATTAAAAGCTAGCCAATATACCTTTTTTCCTATATTTTACATTTAACTCATCAACAATCAGTGAAAATAAACTTTTTTTGAAACAGCCAAAAAATCTTTTCAGCAAAAGTTCATTCCAGCTAAAATAAAGGATTTTACAGTACTTTTATTACATATCTGTGCGGTTGTATTGATATAATTGGTGCATCTCTCTGTTCAGGTTCCACAACACCAAGTCATAGACACGGCATCACTGTTCAGCCTTCCTAAACAACGTATACCGTCATTGCGATTCCTCGCATGGTTCTTTCTAGGTAAGTTGAATAGATGCGTTTCTGGTCTAGTGATATTCTGTTTGAATATGTCAGCAGCTTGTAGATACATTTGATGTTAGTTTATGACTTTCAGGGTCATCAACTTGTGTGTTCAGTCAAATGACTCGAACAATGCAATCTTTTGAAAGTTTCAAATTAAAAATTTATCTACCTTGCTACGTGATAGATATATTGCAT